GGGGGATGCATGCATTTCTTTTCTTGGAAAAAGCAGAAGTCGGAAAACGAGTGCCCTCTTCCTCCGGTTTTTAACCCTGTATTTTTGTCCTGCTCTCTCGAACTGTGAGAAATGAGGTATTTTTAAAATGTGAGTTCTTGTCTCCACGCTTTAAGTGTTTTTCACTTTTATCCTTTATTCCTCCACCGTTGCCTCTCTCCTCCACCCCATGGGAAATCACTGACTGGATCCAAGTTTCATATCCAAGTTTATTTACATGGTGGGATGGGCGTGAAACAGCCACATGGCTTTGACAGTGGCACGTGCCATACATCTGTGTAACAACACCTGCCAACGAACTGAGAACTCTGCCCGTCTGAAAAGAACCCACGCTTGCTACCTGTTGGCTTAGGCTCTGAATCATCCCAGGACTTACTGTACATTCAGACGTCGGTGATCCCGAGCTCTGAATTGCAGGATAAAGACTTTCCCAGTAAGCCAAAGAAAAAGAAACTAAATTCTCTGGCTGTCCCTACCTGGCAGCACAGAGGAGATTTGCTCAGTGTTTGCTAAGCTGTGCTTGGCAAGGAGAAATTTGGCACTTAAACCTGGGCAATCCAGCTGCCCAGCAGAGCCTGGCGAGTGAGCAGCCGAGAGTCATGGTCAGGTTCCTCTGGAGTGTGGTTAAAAGCCCTCTTGCCAGATTAAGGGCAAAATAAACACAGAAAGGCATAGAGATGGAGAGGCAGGGTTGTTTATCCCCGCCTCGTGCCCTTCTTCATTCCTCTTGTGGGTCATAGCTGACTGCAGAGATTTCAGCCTGGGGCTCTGTGGCATTGTCTCGTTTCAGAAACACTGCGACAGGCAGAAGGCAAACCTGAGGATCCGCTTCAAGCCCTCCCTCTTCCAGCACGTGGGAACCCACTCCTCCTTGGCCGGGAAAATACAGAAGCTGAAGGTGGGTACCAGCTGCCTGTCCGAGCTGCAGATGGTTTTCTGCCAGGCAGGGCCTGCAGGCACCCAGGACCTGGCTGCTTTTGGGGTGACAGCAACTGGTGGGACGGTGGAGGCTGCATATATGTGCAGGTGTCATGTTTTATTCTGAATTACATTACAGTGAGCTCATGTAGCTCCTGCTTCTCAAAATGGCAGGGACATGTACCAAGAGCTGCTGAAAGCTTTTAAGCTCTGGTACAGGTCCTGACCACCCATCCTGAGAGCCAAACCATGGTCTGGGCAAGTAATTTTGAAGCATCTGCTGAAAAACCCTGGAGAGAAGACTCCTGGGTTGGTCTGACTTCCTCCCCACCTGCCTGCTTGTTCGTGGAAACAATTGTGTTTGTGTTTAAACATCAACAAAATCAAGCTTCCCACACTCTATGTTCGGGATCCCTGGATTCTGCTCAGTCCTGTGTCCGTCCCATCCCCAGGTAAATGGACAGTGTTATCCAGTTTGTATTGCAGTGCAGTACCCCTCAGTCATTTTATGTTATCGTCAACCTCCCAGCCACCTTCTCCTCAGGTGTAAGGACTGTTTTCAGAGCTCTTAAGGCAGGGAAACGTGTGTGGGGATGCTTGGACAATGAAAGGCTCCTTGGTGCTGGATCAGAGTGCAGAGCAGTGGTGCTTCTCTGTGCTGCCTTCTCCTGAAGTTGTGTCCTCCTGGGATCCAGCCACGCATTGCCCTGTCTGGTGCCTTCCCCAGATCCCTTCCATCCCTCATGCTTCTCTATTCTGAAAATCAAGAGCTTTTGATTTGCAGTGTCTTGGTGCTGGGACCCGTGTTCCTCACAGGCAAGGGCAGCTCGTGACCCTTTTCTGCCCTTTTGCTTTGCACCTACCAAGGACAAGGACTTTGGCAAGCAGGCCCTGCGGAAAGAGCACGTCAACCCTCCTGCGGAGGTGAGCACCAGCCTGAAAACCTACCAGCACTTCACCTTGGAGAAGGCTTACCTGCGGGAGGACTTCTTCTGGGCCTTCACTCCTACCGCCGGAGACTTCATCAGATTCAGATTCTTCAAACCGCTCCGCATTGAAAGGCCAGTGCTTGGGGAGGATCAATGGGGTGTGACGTGGGAACAGCCTGAAGCATGCAGAGACACTTTTCCTTCTGCTCTTCTGGCTCACATTGAATTTCTTGCCTGTCTCCTGCTTGGCTGCCCAGGAGGAGGGAGCAGTGCTCTTCCAAGGGGATGATAGCTTGACCCTTTCTTGGTGGGGCCACATTTGCCAGAGCCCTTTGCTTTCCTCTGTGGAAGGTCTCTTTCCAAACTGTGTACCCCTGGGCTTTTTGGGAAGGTTGAGCTGTGTGGTGGTTCAGCTGAGTGGAAAGCCATCATGTCCCCCCTCGCTCAGTGTGGTTTTCCATGGCTTTGCTCTCTGTCACAGGTTCTTCTTCCGCAGCGGGAACATCGAGCACCCAGAAGACAAACTCTTCAATACGACTGTGGAGGTTTTGCCGTTTGACGTAAGTGTTTTATTGAGAATTGAGACGGGGGTGGAGTGGGAAGCAGGTTTGAGAGAAGGGAACTGCTTAAAGCCATCAGGAAAATCTTTACACGACTCAAGTGCCTTTGAGAGGTGCTGGCTGGGAACCAGGGTGTCATGCCTGGTGCGGTACCACCTTGGGAGCAGGGATGCTGTGCTGAGAGCTGTCTGTGCCTGCAGAGGGGATGCTCAGATGGGTGGGACGGCTGCAGAGGAGGGGATGGAGCCAGCATGAGGGCAGCAACTGTGTTTTGGGGCATGAGTCTTGGGGTGCCAGGCAGGGGGACAAGGTACCAAGAGCTGCTGGCGAGTGCAGCTCGGGGGTTGCTGCTGTTGCTTGGGGCTTTTGGGTGGTTCTTGCCACTGGCCTTGCACAAAGCTCCTCTCCTTCCTGCAGAGCCTGCAGTCGGATAAGGAAACCTTGCAGGAGGGGAGAGGCACAGTCTTCAAATACCGCAGGATGCCGGATGGCTACATCCAGATAGGTACGGCAGGGTGTGGGGTGGTAAACTGCCCGTTGGGTGTGATAACACAGCCCATAGCCTCACCCTCAAGTGAATGAAGACCCTTAGTGCTCTTTCTTGGCAAAGAGTAATTTCTGCTTTCCAGGAGCCAAGCTGGAACAAGTGGTAGCTTTCACCATCTCCTCTCCTCCACTGCCCTCCATTCCCTTTAGACTAGGTGTCCTCTTCAGGTAGTTTTCTGTCCTACGCTTCTGCCAGTCTCTGCTCAGAGCTGGGACCAAATTATTCAGATTGGCCATTTGCCTGACCTGGTTGTAAAAACCTCCATCGTGGGCAATTGCACATTCTTCCTCCACAGCCTGTCTTGGTAGTCCTCCACTTGTGGCTTGGACTTTGTGTCCTGCCACCTGAGCATATTTTAGTGCCTGTTCTGCCCTTGGACAAGAAGGTGATTGCAGCCCATGGGACCTGCTGGTGTGTGGTAAAGCCCTGGAATCTCTGCTAAGAGATTCTATTTTAAAAAATAGACATATAGAAGAAAAATTCCCTGGCCCTCATAGCTCTTTGCAATTTTAACATTCCTCTACATGCTGTCTGGTTTCTTCCAGTTACATTTTCCAAAAAAAAAAACCACACCAAAAAAAATGGGTCATAATAACAGGCTGAGACCTTACTAGCACTGTGGATATAAGATTTGCCTCCCTAGTGTAAATCCTGAACCAGTCTTTATCTCTTACTAGACAGTGCTGCTGTCAGGCCACTCTGCCCCCTCGTCATGCACAGAGGTGATGTGTAGCCAAATATTCTCCATTTCACTTTGTTTAGCCCATTTTGAGGAGAGACTCTTTATCAGGGAGTGTAGTGCTAGGATGAGGGGTTAATGGTTTCCAGCTGAAAGAGAGCAGACTTAGATTCAGCATTAGGAAGAAGTTATTCACTGGGAGGGTGATGGGTTACTGCTCGGGGTTGCCCAGAGAAGTTGTGGATGTCCTCTCCCTGCAAATGTTCAAGGCCAGGCTGGAGGGGCCTTTGAGCAACCTGGTCATGGCAGGGGGGAGTTTGGAACTAAAGTCCCTTCCAACACAACCCATTCTATGATTCTATTAATTTTTTTGTCCCCCTAAGTGTAGCATTTTGCACTGTATCAATGTCCACACTGATGGTTTTCAGCCTGTTCCATGTCGGGGAGCTGCAGGCAGGGGCTGCTGTGGCTGCTCATGTTCCCCTCGAGGAGGCGGGGGCTGGATGCCACAGGATTGTCCCTGTGTCA